GATAAATTCGGTCATTCTAGTATAAGTCATATTCTGATCCCATTTGACATTATATTGACAAGTGGGAGTATTGAGACTTGAAATAAGAGGTAGACGCTACTAAATGTGGAAGGAGATGCATCATTTCCAAGTTTTCTAATTCCTTTAGATAATCCTCAATTCTCCTATGAAACTCAAAAAACAGGGACTCTTTCTAGTAAAAGTCATATTCTGATCCCAATTGGCATTATATTGACAAGTGGGAGTTTTGAGACTTGAAATAAGAGGTAGACACAACTAAATGTGGAAGGAGATGCATCATTTACATGTTTTCTAATTCCTTTAGATACACCTTAAATCTGCTATGAAAACAAGAAAACTGGGACTCTTTCTAGTAAAAGTCATATTCTGATCCCAATTAGCATTATATTGACAAGTGGGAGTTTTGAGACTTGAAATAAGAGGTAGACACTACTAAATGTGGAAGGAGATGCATCATTTCCAAGTTTTCTAATTCCTTTAGATACACCTCAAATCTCCTATGAAAACCAGAAAACTTGGACTCTTTCTAGTAAAAGTCATATTCTGATCCCAATTAGCATTATATTGACAAGTGGGAGTTTTGAGACTTGAAAAATGAGGTAGACACTACTAAATGTGGAAGGAGATGCATCATTTCCAAGTTTTCTAATTTCTTTAGATACACCTCAAATCTCCTATGAAAACCAGAAAACTTGACTCTTTCTAGTAAAAGTCATATTCTGATCCCAATTAGCATTATATTAACAAGTGGAGTTTTGAGACTTGAAATAAGAGGTAGACACTACTAAATGTGGAAAGGCATGATGACATCATTTTCCAAGTTTTCTAATTCCTTTTAGATACACCTAAAATCTCTTATGAAAACCAGAAAACTGGGACTCTTTCTAGTAAAAGACATATTCTCATCCGAATTGGCATTATATTGACAAATGGGAGTTTTGAAACTAGAAATAAGAGGTAGACACTACTAAATGTGGAAGGAGATGCATCATTTCCAAGTTTTCTAATTCCTTTAGATACACCTCAAATCTCCTATGAAAACCAGAAAACTGGGACTCTTTCTAGTAAAAGTCATATTCTGATCCCAATTGGCATTATATTGACAAGTGGGAGTTTTGAGACTTGAAATAAGAGGTAGACACTACTAAATGTGGAAGGAGATGCATCATTTCCAAGTTTTCTAATTCCTTTAGATACACCTTAAATCTCCTATGAAAATCAGAAAACTGGGACTCTTTCTAGTAAAATTCATATTCTGATCCCAATTGTCATTATATTGACAAGTGGGAGTTTTGAGACTTGAAATAAGAGGTAGACACTACTAAATGTGGAAGGAGATGCATCATTTCCAAGTTTTCTAATTCCTTTAGATACACCTAAAATCTCTTATGAAAACCAGAAAACTGGGACTCTTTCTAGTAAAAGACATATTCTCATCCGAATTGGCATTATATTGACAAATGGGAGTTTTGAAACTAGAAATAAGAGGTAGACACTACTAAATGTGGAAGGAGATGCATCATTTCCAAGTTTTCTAATTCCTTTAGATACACCTAAAATCTCTTATGAAAACTAGAAAACTGGGACTCTTTCTAGTAAAAGTCATATTCTGATTCCAATAGGCATTCTATTGACAAGTGGGAGTTTTGAGACTTGAAATAAGAGGTAGACGCTACTAAATGTGGAAGGAGATGCATCATTTCCAAGTTTTCTAATTCCTTTAGATACACCTCAAATCTCCTATGAAAATCAGATAACAGGGACTCTTTCTAGTAAAAGTCATATTCTGATCCCAATAGGCATTATATTTACAAGTAGAAGTTTTGAGACTTGAAATAAGAGGTAGACACTACTAAATGTGGAAGGAGATGCATCATTTCCAAGTTTTCTAATTCATTTAGATACACCTCAAATCTCCTATGAAAACTAGAAAACTGGGACTCTTTCTAGTAAAAGTCATATTCTGATCCCAATTAGCATTATATTGACAAGTGCGAGTTTTGAAACTAGAATAAGAGGTAGACGCTACTAAATAAGGAAGGAGATGCATCATTTCCAAGTTTTCTAATTCCTTTAGATACACCTTAAATCTCCTATGAAAATCAGAAAACTGGGACTCTTTCTAGTAAAAGACATATTCTCATCCGAATTGGCATTATATTCACAAATGGGAGTTTTGAAACTAGAAATAAGAGGTAGACACTACTAAATGTGGAAGGAGATGCATCATTTCCAAGTTTTCTAATTCCTTTAGATACACCTAAAATCTCTTATGAAAACTAGAAAACTGGGACTCTTTCTAGTAAAAGTCATATTCTGATCCCAATTGGCATTATATTGACAAGTGGGAGTTTTGAGACTTGAAATAAGAGGTAAACACTACTAAATGTGGAAGGAGATGCATCATTTCCAAGTTTTCTAATTCCTTTAGATACACCTCAAATCTCCTATAAAAACTAGAAAACTTGGACTCTTTCTAGTATAAGTCATATTCTGATCCCAATTGACATTATATTGACAAGTGGGAGTATTGAGACTTGAAATAAGAGGTAGACGCTACTAAATGTGGAAGGAGATGCATCATTTCCAAGTTTTCTATTTCATTTAGATATACCTCAAATCTCCTATGAAAACCAGAAAACTTGGACTCTTTCTAGTAAAAGTCATATTCTGATCCCAATTGACATTATATTGACAAGTGGGAGTTTTGAGACTTGAACTAAGAGGTAGACACTACTAAATGTGGAAGGAGATGCATCATTTCCAAGTTTTCTAATTCCTTTAGATACACCTCAAATCTCCTATGAAAACCAGAAAACTTGGACTCTTTCTAGTAAAAGTCATATTCTGATCCCAATTAGCATTATATTGACAAGTGCGAGTTTTGAAACTAGAATAAGAGGTAGACACTACTAAATGTGGAAGGAGATGCATCATTTCCAAGTTTTCTAATTCCTTTAGATACACCTAAAATCTCTTATGAAAACTAGAAAACTGGGACTCTTTCTAGTAAAAGTCATATTCTGATTCCAATAGGCATTATATTGACAAGTGGGAGTTTTGAGACTTGAAATAAGAGGTAGACACTACTAAATGTGGAAGGAGATGCATCATTTCCAAGTTTTCTAATTCCTTTAGATACACCTCAAATCTCCTATAAAAACTAGAAAACTTGGACTCTTTCTAGTATAAGTCATATTCTGATCCCAATTAGCATTATATTGACAAGTGGGAGTTTTGAGACTTGAAAAATGAGGTAGACACTACTAAATATGGAAGGAGATGCATCATTTCCAAGTTTTCTAATTTCTTTAGATACACCTCAAATCTCCTATGAAAACCAGAAAACTTGGACTCTTTCTAGTAAAAGTCATATTCTGATCCCAATTAGCATTATATTGACAAGTGGGAGTTTTGAGACTTGAAATAAGAGGTAGACACTACTAAATGTGGAAGGAGATACATCATTTCCAAGTTTTCTAATTCCTTTAGATAATCCTCAATTCTCCTATGAAACTCAAAAAACAGGGACTCTTTCTAGTAAAAGTCATATTCTGATCCCAATTGGCATTATATTGACAAGTGGGAGTTTTGAGACTTGAAATAAGAGGTAGACACTACTAAATGTGGAAGGAGATGCATCATTTACATGTTTTCTAATTCCTTTAGATACACCTCAAATCTCCTATGAAAACTAGAAAACTTGGACTCTCTCTAGTAAAAGTCATATTCTGATCCCAATTGGCATTATATTGACAAGTGGGAGTATTGAGACTTGAAATAAGAGGTAGACGCTACTAAATAAGGAAGGAGATGCATCATTTCCAAGTTTTCTAATGCCTTTAGATACACCTTAAATCTCCTATGAAAATCAGAAAACTGGGACTCTTTCTAGTAAAATTCATATTCTGATCCCAATTGGCATTATATTGACAAGTGGGAGTTTTGAAACTAGAAATAAGAGGTAGACACTACTAAATGTGGAAGGAGATGCATCATTTCCAAGTTTTCTAATTCCTTTAGATACACCTAAAATCTCTTATGAAAACTAGAAAACTGGGACTCTTTCTAGTAAAAGTCATATTCTGATCCCAATTGGCATTATATTGACAAGTGGGAGTTTTGAGACTTGAAATAAGAGGTAGACACTACTAAATGTGGAAGGAGATGCATCATTTCCAAGTTTTCTAATTCCTTTAGATACACCTTAAATCTCCTATGAAAATCAGAAAACTGGGA